AAGGGCTGTTTAAAGAAGCGAGCACGAATCGGACGAGAGAGAAATCGAGAACCTCCCAGCTTTGTTGCCCAGGAACCAGCGCGAATTGCAACTCGTGGCTCAAACCTTATTGCCGCTAGAATTTTTCTGTCCTCTTTGGAAACCTTGGCCTGATGCTGTCCAGATGCCACAGGAGGGCAGCTTCCAAAGTCATAAACAGCCCTTTGACCTGAGAGCCTGGAAAAGGAAGGAAGGAAGGAAGGAAGGCTGCCCTAATGGAAGTGGCTGATTTGGAGCCCTGCAAAAACAATGGGAGGGGAAGATCCCAGAGGGAGCCCAGTGCCAGGACCCTGTTGCTGCTTTCTCGTAAAAGGGGGACTTGGAGAACAGATCGGGAATAGGGTCAGGGTGCTTTTTACACCCTTAAATGGTAACGTGTGGGATGTCGTATCACATGGTGTCACACAGCCCACGTGGCAGGCAGATGGGAATCAGCGTAGTTTCATTGTTTGTGTCCATTATGGGACACAATCTGGCTGGCCTCAGCACATGGAATCTGATGGAGCTTTGGCCGTATCCCTGGGCCCTATCTTTATGTGATACAACAGGGCCTCAGTGATGAGCGGCTGCTGTGCCGCATGACAATATGAGGGACACTTGCTCTCCTTGCTGTAGTGTGGACGATAAAGAAATGCGTGTGAAGTGGTTTGCATGCTTGGAAGTGTTAGATGAATGCCAGGTATTCTTATCTGTGGAACATATGACAGAAACGTGCTCAGACACACGGCTGTTTTTAAATAGTCGTAATATTATTACTGGCCCTTAAAGAATCATCCTGGGGAAGACCGGCTGCTTCCCCGGGAACAGTCACCGGTTAAAAGTCAGGATCTTCATGTGGAGATCCTCGTCTCCCATCCCCAACCCGCCGGCCTGCGAGGAGGGGGGCAGCCGGAGGGCCGGGGGCTGCCGGCAGAAGATGCTCTTCTTGGTGGACAGAGGGGTGTCGAGGGTGAGCGAGGCGCTGGCCATCTCCTGGGGCTTGGAGCTGGTGAGGAAGCGCACCAAGGTGGAGAGGGCTTTGGCCACGTCGCTCCGGGCGCCTTCGTTGGCGAAGCAGTAGAGGATGGGGTCGGCCACGCAGTTCAAGCTGGTGAAGGCCAGGGAGGAGTGATAAGCCACAAAGACCTTCTCCTCAAAGCTGCAGTCGCCCGGCTTGCTCAGGTAGACGGTGCTGCGGGAGAGCAGGATGAGGTGGTAGGGGGCGAAGCAGAAGAGCAGGATGGCGATCAGGCTGAGCGCCAGGCGCTTGATCTTCGCCTTCTCCTGCTTCTCGGTGGAGACGTTGCCGCGCACGGCCCGCAGGATGCCCTGGTAGGAGAAGAGCATCAGCACCCAGGGGAAGAGGAAGCCCAGGAAGACTCGGTAGAGGTTCATCCAGGCCACCCACTCCTCCATGGGGTACTTCTCGAAGCAGAAGGTGTGGTTGTAGCGGTCGTGGAAGAGCTCGTCGTGGAACAGCGGGGCGGAGTTGGCCCCGATCTCGATGGTCCACACCACCGCACTGACGGCCACCGCCGTCTTGACCCGCCGGAACCTGGCGAAGCGCAGCGGGTGGGCCACGGCCAGGTAGCGGTCCACCGAGATGCAGCAGAGGAAGGCGATGCTGATGTAAATGTTGGTGTAGAAGATGAAGCCGAAGAGCTTGCAGGATTCCTGCCCGTGGATCCAGTTGTCGTAGTGGAGGAAGTAGTCGATCCAGAGGGGCAGCGTGGCGATGTAGAGCAGGTCCGCGATGGAGAGGTTCATCAGGTAGACGCCCAGCTCGTTCTTCTGCCGGACCTGCAGGTAGGCCGCCCAGAGCGCCATGCAGTTGGTGGGCAGCCCCAGGGTGATGACGATGATGTACAAGGTGGGGGGGAAGAGGTGGTCCACCCTGGAGTCCACAGGGCAGCTCCAGCTGGCTTGGCTCGCGTTGCACATCCTGGGGGTGGGAGGGAGCGGGGCCGCCTGCCCGGATCCTAGCTCACAGCAGGAGTTTGTGTGGCTGGGCGTGGTGTCTCCACAGAACCACGCAGGCTGCCGAAAGGAGGTTCCTGCAGGTGCCATGAAGAGAGGTCCCCATCATCGCCCTCTAGGTGCCCGTGCGCCCGCTGCCATCCCTCCGATCTCCACGGGTGGCCTCTGCTGGCTGTTCAGATCTGGGGAAGGGAAAGAGAGAAGGGTTGACGCTTTCTGCCTTTCGCGGCAAAGCCACACGGCGTGGCTCCGTTCAGAGCATCGGCCACAGATACACTCCCTGGGCCAGAGACGGTGGGAACGGTGCCAGGGGACGGGCTTGTACAAGGAAAACATATGCTGCGTTCCTGGATGTTGAGCCTTAAAATAATCATAATTTCTATCGCGAGGAGCCATCGATTACAGCTCTCGCTTGTTCAGTGCGGGAGCGAAAACTGAAACTTTTTCTGGCAAATGGCTGCTCAGCATCTCAACACAGACTGCACCCCCCCACCCCCCGGAGACCTAACAGCCTCCCTTGTCCGCTTGGATCCACCATCAAATTGGTCCCCTCTGAGGGAAGCTCATCTTTATTTGGGATGCGTGTTCTTACTCACGAGTATCCCCTCTCTTCTCTTCTCCCAAGGCTGAGCGTCCGGGGTCCTCAGTGCTCTCTGAGCTGGATGGTTCACCTGCAGACGTCTCATTACCCAACTAGGTAACATCATCCATGCTAGTAACTATGGAGTTTGTTCCCTGTTGGTGTACCATAGCTTGCCCTGTCATGGAACATCTGCAAGCTCAGCGAGCACCAAGGACCCCACCACGCTCCTCCCCACCCCTTTTAGAACTGATGATGTTCCCCAGTAAGGTAATGAAACGTCTACGTGAAAAGCACTTAAGCCGAGAGCCGACCAAGGACCCCACAGTTCAGCCTGGAGCTGCCTAGGTTCCCTTCTGAAGGTAGACACATCCTCAGGGTCCCCTGGTGGAACATGAATTCCTGATGCTCCATACATGCACACAGGCCCTTGAAAAGGGCTGTGCAGCTTCTGACGAGAGCTGGGAAGCCAAGAACTCCTCCTCCTCCTCCTCCTCAGGGCAGGGAAAGAGCCGGTGGGGCCTCCGGAGCGCCTGGGAATAGGGGGGTCATTGTCCGAGGCTGAAGTCTCTCAAGGCTCTTCCCTATTTTTACCGCAACACACAAACAGCCCCTCGTCCTGTCACTGCCCCGGAAAGCACCTCCCTCCTTCCCTCCGGATCGCTGGCCTGAAAACGAAGGAAACCAGCACTGGTGGGTCACCCAGGCCCCAACACTCATTTCATTTATTGAATTTCTATACCGCCCAATCCTGGAGGACTCCGGGCGGCTTACTGGGGAATTCTGGGAGTTGAAGTCCGGACATCTTCAAGTGGCCAAGGTTGAGAAACACTGGCTTAGAGCTTTAAAAGTGGGAAAGGGCAGAGGGGGAATCTGTCAGGGTGGTGGTCTTGTGCGCACTGATCCAGGCAGAATCCAGCGGCAGGCTCGGTACTGCTGGGTTCCCCCAAAGTCGGCCGTCTCCCTGCTCCCTGCAGACGGTGCCCAAGGGCACAGCTGAGATCTGCCTCCGTGTGGGCAGCCCCTCCATCCTAGGGGGCTTTGTGCCTCAGGAGCTCTTAAGCGTCGAGGCTGCTGCCGCTCAGCTGCTTCTCAAGGAAGGGCAGGCGGACTCTGCAGAAAAGACTCCTGAAAAATTAATGTTGACCTTTTGGGGAAGCTTAATCCTTCTGGCTGGAACTGAAGGTCACGAGGACCCCCTTCCCTGCTAAGAAGCCCCCCTGCCGGGCTCCAAAGGGCAGAGGAGAAGGTGGAAGACAGCCTGGTGCAGCTACAGCAAGGCTCCTGCCGGGCCAGCCAGGATGTGGGAAGGAGGACCATGCGCTCTGCCTCTTCCCAAATTAAAAGGTGGGCAATTCCCAGCCACACCTGCCCTGGTCCCTGGGCCCCAGTGCTCTCTCTTGCCCTTCAGCCGTGCTTCTCCCCCCAGTGGTGTTGTCGGACGGGGGGTAAATAGAGCTTCATCCTGTTGACAGCAAACGAGGAACAAGATGGAGGTCGCTTGGATGTGGTGCAGGTCCTTTAATGCAGTGGTCTCCAACCTTGGCAACTTTAAGACCTGTTGGACTTCAACTCCCAGAGTTCCTCAGCCAGCTTTGCTGGCTGAGGAACTCTGGGAGTT